ACTTTATAAAGTAACTGAATTATGAAAAAGAAAAACACAACATGGCTCTTAGATTAACTAATCCTTGGCAGTGAATCATTCTCAGGGTTAGCATGGTCAGTGCATTTTAAATCTTCAGTAAGATGGGATTACTCATAAATATGTACATGTGTGTACAGTATGAAAGCCTTAATAACTGTCAGTTTTTGAATGGGAGAAAACCTTGAGAGAGGACTTATTTATAGGGTGAGTAAAGAGTAAATCATTTATAGGGTGAGTAAGAGTAAAACAAAAGACTGCCACATACATATTAATACGCTTCTTTTGAATGCATTTTTGAATGCAGTTTGAAAAGGTGCACGCATTTGCACACTTTCTTAAATAATTATGCTGTTCATGTGTATTTTAGGCTAAGTGTCTCTGAGATGCACTGTACAAACTACATGCAAGTGAGAAGAGTGACTTTAATTCAACAGAACAGAGAAAAAAGAACTTACCTCTATAATACTTGAGAAAAAGTTTGGGTAGAAATGTGGCCAGTCAACCCTTCCAATATCGACAATAACTTTAATAAGCTTGTTTCTGATGTATGATGGCAGCTTCTTGTGATATGACAACAGATAATCATTGAGAAAATGACGGACCTCAGCCTTATCTCCAGCTTGTGTTCCTATCCATTGTTTATTAATGAGATTCTATGATACAGAAATCAAGTCAATAATTGAGAAAGTTTCCCTGAGATACTGATAAAATAAGAAAGTCAGACTTATTATTGAGTGATAATGATTATGGCTGCACCACTGGTTTCATGATTCACATCATCCTTGACTGCTTCCTGAGTTATCTCACCTTTAGCTCCATATAAATGAACCTTCTACGGGTTTGTCCTGACTTAATGGTCTTTTTAACTACAAGTGGCACTTAAGAAAAGCCAATTCTAGACAGATGAGCCTTGTTAGAGGGTATTTGAGGGTACAAGTGGCACTTAAGAAAAGCCAATTCTAGACAGATGAGCCTTGTTAGAGGGTATTTGAGGGTACAAGTGGCACTTAAGAAAAGCCAATTCTAGACAGATGAGCCTTGTTAGAGGGTATTTGAGGGTACAAGTGGCACTTAAGAAAAGCCAATTCTAGACAGATGAGCCTTGTTAGAGGGTATTTGAGCCTCTTAAGAGGATATTTGAGACCAAGTGTATAAACAAAGAGTACTGTACACTTGCTTAGTGATCGGGTGCCTTTTTTTGCAAATGAGATCAGAATCAATTACCTCAAAGGCACTTAAAAAAGTCAAGCTTTGGGTATTAAATGACAGGTACTGAATAGATATTTCATGATTATATAATAAATAGATGAAAGCATTTTTGACAAACCTCAAACACTGAAACTGCATACATAAGAACATACTGATTTGAACAGTTGTTCATAAAATACACACAGTGGTGCCATGCTCCTGATTGTTGGCTAAAGTTTTGTAAAACTTGTTCTAAGAAGAGACAAAATCATTACTGTTAAATTATTAAAACAACAGTCTTTGTCCACTGCTAAAACTTTGTTTTGAGCCTGACTCAGAGTCATTTTAAACCATACCTAGTAGCTCAGGGTAAACTGAGACAGTCCCAAAACATAAATGTCAATATTATTATAATCACTTGAGAAAGGCACTGAGAAAGTAAAAACCAAAAAAAAAAAAAGAAAACAAAACATTCCTAACAATCAAACAGGGTACAACACGGCTAAAATGTTAATGGTAATTTGGTATCATCAACTGAGTTGATAATGTTAAGCTCTGAAAAAGGGGTAACCCTCAAAATGTCAACTTTTAAACTCTTTATGGTGGCCAATTAACATTATAAACTCAGTTGATAGTACTAAACTACCCTGTTAAACTTTCCCACCAATGCAGTACCACCATACAGTTTCTTTACAAACTTACTCCCTCTAATAAAATGTAAATGACCATTTTAGCCCTCTAAATGCCCAACAAAGCGGTAATAATATTGATTATCAGGAGGTAACTATAATTATAATCGAAAAGGGTGCATAAAAAAGACTTAAATGACTATGATAGCAGCTAGATCTTCCTCCAAAATTTCTAGAATTCTTTGTAAGACAGAGAGAATTTGGATGTTATGTCAAAAACCACTTATGACTTCATTCTTTGAACCCCTTGTAATACAAACAAATTTCTTCTGCCTGCAATCTCAATAGAATCCTCAAAAATCTGCCAAATAAGGGGAATACTTTGTACCATTTATCTGGACAAGAATAATGTGGTAGATAATTTGAAAGTCTTCCTGCTTCACCCCACCATAACAAGCTTGAAACACATGGCTTGCAGAATAACTGATTTAAAAATGATTTAAGGACAATTATGTTAACTTCTCATCCTTTAAAACAGTGCATGAAATAATATCATATAATTCTTCTGTTAGACTATCAATTGCTAGCTTCTCCTTTCAAACTGTCTCGTATTCCATTTTGAAACACAGCGAGAAGTTGATGCTGCATCAAAAGTCACTTAGGGCTTAATCTCACATACCCCTTCATTTGCCAGTAAGTTTACCAGTTCACTTAGTTAAGTCAAATACCTATTTCTCTTTTGCGATTGTTGTCTGTAGAAGAATCAAAAAATTCATTCATAAGCACTTCCAAAGCATGAAGGGATGCTGCATCTGAAGACTGAGGAAAAAAAAGAAGATATATCTGTGACACCGTAACAAGTTTTATTATTATAATCAGCCATCTTTAGGTTCTATGGACGTGAATCATTGTGTCCACTATGAATTCCAAGCACTTTCAGGATAAAATTTTCATAGCTTCGAGTCACCAATGGTTGGTATACATGATGAAAGTATCTTGACAAGCTATCCTTATGATTAAGATGAAGAGTTATTGTATTTCAAAAGGTCTGGGTACATGCTTGAGCCAGCTTGTCATACTGTTTTCTTATTCTCCTCTCTATACAGCGAGGAGAATAAATGGCTGCCAGCAAAGAATCAGGGAAACTTAACTTAATGTTTGGGGATAAGTTTTTAATGGTGTTGCATTGGTGGGGGGAAGGAGAGAGGGTAAGACAAGATAACTGGCTTCATCAATTGAGTTGTCAGGGGGAATGACAAAGAAAAGCAATACTCTTAGTCATCAATGCCATGGACACTGCTAAGGGTTCCAGCAGCATGAGCTGGCTTGGCCTTTTCTTTCCTTCTGTTCCTAAGAAGTTGGTTTAAATTATCCTACTAATTCATACAAAAAGCATATGGTGTTCTAAGTTGGCAAAAAACTGGGACATACTTTTGTCTTATATTAAAACTTTAGGCAGTTTCTTTGCTATGACTCACAGATCATCTGATCTGCATCATTTATCACAGACATATAGGTGACAGATACTGAGTGAAGTGTGACCATATTTGGACAAGAAACAGGGCAACCAACAGAACCAAGAGGTATGTATATCATGACCTAATTTAATAATTTGAAAACTGAATAGATGGCAAGTCCTCACTTTTCCCAAAATAAAGAGATCAGTTTTCTACTAAAAATTGTCAAATAAAGCATACTTCACTTGTATCCAATTTTGGTTATGATGCAAAATGTGAAAGTAGATGGGAATCACGCCATCATTGACAAAGGTCAAGCAATCGCATCTCAAAGTATATGAAACACAACAATTTGGCTAATTACAGACATGACACATTAAGTCCGTGATCGTTCATATTTTCCAAGACCCCATGACGATGAAAAGAGAGTTTACTCACCATGATCAAAAATTTTTAGGTTTACGTCTGCACGTCGCTATAATTTCGTGTTTCAACTGTCATTTACCACCAATCTCTTCCAGAATGATTTAGTTGACCACAACACATCTCTTCTACGATAATCACAAATTATGCGTCATGTACAAGTCCTTCCCTCTCAGGAAAATACAGGGAATGAACGCAACGTGGAACCGCTATCTACGGCATAGTAACTACGAAAGTAAAATTCTCCCAGGCTTTCTCTGTAGTAGAGTCGAGTCCTTGGCCGAAACTTTGAGCGTCACACCTTTAGTTTCGTTGCCTCGCAGAGAAAAAGTACAGATTTTCACCGTAAAACAAAGAAGTAAGGACTCAAACTTGCACTGTTCACCCTCGAGGTTCAGGACTAAAATGGGGAGAAAACCGGTTGCATACTTGAACAATTGCGATAGAGAGGCCCCTTTCCCTTCCTGCCCGGCCCACACACACAAGAACGAGGCTTATGAAAGCAACCAATGTTCTTAGAGGGGTGGGTTGGGGAATGGTTTAAGTATGAAAGTAACCCAAGTAATTTGATGAAAGCAGCGCGGGGTCAAGCAAGCTGAAAACTATCCACATTTTATGAGCAGATAGAGTAAAAGGCAGAGCTTGTAAATACTTGAAAATTGCAAGAGTGATACCATCAAAGTAATACCAAATAACCCCAGCTAGTGAGAAAATGAATCTCTTCTATCTTAGGCTTTGACCATGCAGGGGGGGGGGGGGGGGGG